GCATTTGATGTCTCGTTTCTCCGGAGTTTCGCCTTGTGTTGGCTGTGCTCTTCTTCCGTGTCTGTGGGAAGAGGAAGAAAATTCAGAGAAATTAGTTTACATCAAAATGTCTGCATGCTTATTGCCAACATACTACCACAAATGGTATCGTAGCACTCAAGGTCGAGTAAATTCAAACAGTGATATAAGAGAACTGAAAACATAGATGTGGGAGATAAAATCAGGAACAAATACACTATACACATAGCCATATACAAGAATGATATTGAACACTGGAATGTATTTCCAAAATCAGAATGATGTTGCATGACTTCTAATGAACACCTTGACGGGATGTAAACCTGACGCGCGCGGTTTGAAAATTGGAAGTGGTTTGTTTCGCATCCACCTTTTGTGTTAACTCATTGATTTAGCCTAAAATTTAGGAATCACTTTGACACTGCTGGTGTTAATATAGCTTTCTAGTGTTTTTGGTAATCACTATCTTTAGTTATAGCCATTGTGGTATTATTCTTTATCATTCTCTTAACTGTCCTCGGCAAGGGTAGTCGCATTCTAAGAAGTTATGTCAGCGATATACCAACAACCAGGAATTGTGCTACAAAAGGTCTGGGCAAAGCGAGGAATACACCCCAGTCCACGGAATACCCATGCGGCATTGCAAGTTATTCAACTCATGTCAAGGAAGGTATCTGTTGCGACAGCTGTGCGAGGTGGTACCATCAGGATTGCAGTGGACTAAAGCAGAAATCGTTGACACTCTACACAGAAAACAAAGTGCTCTAGTGGGTGCGCACGGGGTGCATTAAGGTACCCGCGATGGCTGCAAGACAGCCGAGTACTCCAACTAACACCTTATGTATTCGCTCAGATTCTGGGCGAAGGGATACGACGGTAATAGACCGATACCAAGGATGTAGTACCTACCAAAATGCCAGCAAGGACATCGGTAGGATTGACGCACTGAGAAGGAGGATCAAAGAGCTAGAGGTTAAGACCAGGCAACGAGCGAGACACTTGGAGTCCCTCCTGCAGAAGCTTAAGCGGCTCGGGACGGCTATGCTCAAACTTAAGGCTAGCAGTGAGATAGCACTGGGTAGGCAACGGAACGCATTAATTAAAGGCATTGCTGAGCCCCAGTGTGTAAACCAAAACAGAGGGAAAGGGAACTCCGACACTCAGTCACCAGCCTGCTGCGGACGGCAAATATCCTCGGCCACGTTTTTCTCAAAAGGGTATTTAGACTGGGTAGATGGGCCGGAAGAACGGACAATAGTCAGGGGGCGGCAAGACCGGTGCTGGTTGAGCTCGAGAACCCGAAATACCAGGACGCTTTCCTGGCAGCGTCAGAAGAGTGACGATGGCGACTTCCGGTTTGGTCATAATTGAACCCAATCGCTTAACTATGGGGAAGGGAGAATTTAGAAACGTATCCTCTTCGAGGGGGACATCGCTAGCTGACCAGTGGAAGTCACCAAGGTTAGCGATCGAAAGAATGCAAAGTAAGCTCACGCAGACTACCGACGCGANATGCACTGTTACGATGTCGTTTGTATCCGTTTGTAAGTTACGTTCCTACCCTCTCTGTACATTTAATCTTTGTTCGGACCGTCATTTTTTCACATTGTTGTACATTTGCTCATGCGCACTAGCATGCCTCACGGGCTTCGTGAAATATACCGTTATTATTATTATTATTTTGGAAGACTACTGTCCCTATAGAACTGACAGAGGAGATGGAAGAATAGTAGGGGGAGTCCTGCTGCTAATGGCAAAATATCTCGAGCAGCGGGCCGGAATCACACTAAAC